CGATGAATGTAAATTGAAGTGTTTTCTAATGTATGATGAATATACTAGGATCACGAATCCTTATATAATATTTATTTTAAACCTAGTTCTACACCTTGACATACATTTGAAATATTGAAGAATCAATACTCCTAAATTATTTAACAATCTCTCTCGAGTAGAGTTAAACCTATTCAAATATGCGACCCGACTATATCTCTATGACGGATGCAAACATATAAGAATGCATGAGTTTTTATGAACACTTAAAGAGTCACATATGGCATAGCGGTATATTTCTATTCCCTATCGGACCCTATGATGATTTATATATGTCGAACATATTCCCATTCTTTCGAATGTATGAAAAAACCATCAAACTCACACAATCATTTGCGCATATAATTGTGGATAAAAATAAATCCATATAAATCATTCAAATATCCTAAGACGTATTTTTGCTTGTCAAGAATGTAAAATTAAGAAATAAAAATTATATTATATAGTTCATCTAACCTTAGTACAGAATTAATCTAGCCTAACATGGTAGGAAGAAGAAAATCAGAAAAAGAAATAAAGAACAACATCACCAATTCGATTATTGAATTGGATCTTCGTGTTCTTCGAGTGGATCTTCGCGTTCTTGCCTATTTCTTCTCTAAAAAGTCTTCTCCTATCCCCCTTAATGTATTTTGCTGCTATGTATTTGTAGTAGTTGAAAATGGGTTGAAAACCACGTCCAATTTGGTTTCCAAAAGAGTTCCAATCGAATAAGGAAAGTTTCATTCGCTGGCGGATTTTTGTCTCTTCACTGGAGTCAGTATTTTGACCATAACTTTCTCTCCTGATATCTAATTGGGGATATTTAAAATGCGTTAGAAAGATGGCTCAAAGGGCTACAACCTTTCTAGAGAATGTTTCCACTTTGAACGTTTAAAGTGCCAAAAATGGGTATCAATATTCGGCTAAAAATCTTAAATATAACTTGTGCGATTGGATATTGATGGCGATAATATTTTGATCATATTCCATTCCTTTTTGAGTTCGAATTCCATCCAATTGTCTCCTATCAATCTCCAATGTATCATCTTGTGGTCCGAATCAACTATTGAATTTGCAATTTGGTCATCAAATTTTAGACTTTGCTTCCAGTTAGCCCTTTTTTCTTTTTTTCCTAATTTCCACTATATTCATCATTATTATCCTACAAAACACAAATTACATCAACTTAAGCTATATTCCTCATGTTTATTAATAATTATCCATGTATGTGGCCCAAAATAAGTGTGTAAAACACACTTATCAACTCCCCCAAACTTGAACTATTGTTGGTCCTCGAACAAAACTGTAACCTAATTCCACATAAATCATGGTTAGATAACATGCCGTGTCTCAAGATTGGAATTTAGTAATAAATTAAAAGAACAACTTTACATTGAAAAATCAATCAATCTTTACATGTTACATGTATACTTGACATGCGTGTATAATCATGCTAACATATTAAAGTCATGATTAGCTCAACACCTGATCCATAGTAGTCAAATATATCCTTAGCTCGAAAGATGCGAACACCCCCAAACATATTATTTTCACTCAAATTCTTCGGGGTGCATCCTAAGTTGAAATTATTCAATGCTTTTCCTTACCCTCTCTCAGTTTGAATAGATCTTACTATTATAAGTTCACATTTCAATAAGTCGAAATTCTCCTATTTTTTTTATTTTTTCAACCTTTAAGACTAAACTAAGATACTCATCTCTCATTAAATGTATAGTTCTATTGATCGAATGTCTGTGCATAATCAATGTAATTTTTTTCTTTCTTTTTCATTATTTTTTTTAAAACAAACAGCATCTTCTCATTTACTTTCTAGATAACTCATGTAGCGAGTTTTAGGCTGATAACTCCCAAGTCAGATAACCATAGGGTACTGGGTTTTCAATCACCCTTTCAAGCTTAATCGTACGAGTTATAGAAGCTCGAAGAGATTTTTTATTCACACATAGATTAGTGCAATGCCCATTTTCTTTTAGACATTCAGTTTCTAGAACTAACCTCTAACTTAAAACTTTGACATCGTCTTCGTCTAATTGGTTTTAAACGATCCACACAGGATAATATTCATGCATGGAATCCCTATTTATCTCAGTGTTCCCCTATAACAGTTCAACTATCTCCAAACTACTATATAATTGGATTATAGATTAATACTATAGATGTTATTTGA